TTTTTTTTTTTTTTTTTATTAACCCGGCTAGAAAAATCTCATCAAGATAGATTGAATCGACGACCCTATTCTCAACAGTTTTCAAGATTTATTTCTTGAAAATTTGGAGGGTGATTTTTTTATTTTGCTTTGATGAGTGTGTGTGTGTTTGGGAACTTTTGTGGGGAATGTATGAAAGTGGAAGAAAGAGAGCAATGTTAATTTGTGCCTCTTCTTCCTTTTCTTCCCCACACGTCCCAACCAACACTTAAGAGATTATTATGGCAGAGTACTTCTTATGTAATGTATTGCGGTATATATAGAGCTCTAAAAAGAAGCGTCTACCAACCAAATCCTTTTTTGAAGTAGAGTTTTAGTTTTGTTAGGCATTGCATTTATTATTTTTAAATATATTAGGATAAGACAAGTCTTAGCAAAATAAAAACTTTTTCTATTTGGACACTGAGAAGTCGGATGACTCTTCAATAATTCAGGGTGATCCAATCTCTTCGACGCTTTTTTAGTTGTATATTTTTTCCATTATTTGAAGGTAAATAAAAGATAGTCTAATTTTAAATTTTAATACATTTAGGTTTTGTATGAAGAAGGGAATTCACATATTTTGTGTGGTAAACTTGATACTATTGAACAGAATATTCGCCACATGTTCGTTGGATCGCGCAATAATAAAATAGGCAGAAACATTTTTAACAATAAAAGTGTTGAAAAGACTATAGTATTCGACCATTGATCCATTACGATTTCTTAATTATATTATAATTTTGGCGTAATGACTTCCTTCCAAAACTTGTAAGGTTTTTGAAAGTCGATACACAAACTTTGGACTTTCTTATTTGAACACTCAAACTCGTGAAACCCTTAACTAATAAACACATTTGACCATTGACCCTACGCGCGTGTATTACACATTCACAGACGTGTCCATCCAGTCAGCAAATGACCAATGAAATTGTTACACGTCAAGGGCGCGAATAAATTTATTAATTTCTACTTTTTCTTCTATTTTCCTTAGTTTCTTCTTCACCATAGCTGTGCAACTTTTACCTGATGGGGATGACGGAGCAAAACGACGTCACCAAACCCAGCCACCATAGCTGTGCAACTTTTATCTGAAACATTGGTTGCAGCAATTGAATGGATGGTAGAGGAAAATAAGGCTTCATTTTGCAAAGATTTGTTTCACATCACTATGAAGTGTGGAGACAAGATTATAAGGGAAATCTATCTAGCACTGCAAGTCGGGCCTAATGAGTTCCCGGTCCTATTCTAAGTGACGGATATATCATCGATATAGAATTTTTTTTTGGGAGGCCGTGAGATCATATGGCAGGAGAAGTTCCTTCCACTCTGAACCAGTATGTGAAATTTGAGTGGGATTATCAGGAGGTCATGGTTCATGGAGAACTTAGTCATCCCATCTATTCTGAACACTTGATCCCTATTATTGAAGAGATTGAAAAGTTTGATGGAGCTACTTTTCATGGAACCGGCGGAATAAGGCAGAGTCAATAAACCCAGACACCATTTTCTTCTTCTTTTTTGGTTTTCCTTATAGTTTTTGTTTATTTTTTTAATTTTACAATCTTTTTAATGAATAATAATAAATACACGCGCCAATTGAATGTGACTTGTACGCATTATGGCCACGTAAGATAAGCTATGCCACATAAGCATAGTCAATGGTCAAAGGTGTTTACTAGTTGTAGGTTTCACGAGTTTGAGTGTTTAAATGGGAAAGACGAAAGTTTGTGTATCGGCTTTCAAAAGCCCTACAAGTTTAAGCGATCACGAAGCCATTTCGCCATATAATTTTGTTATCTTAGACTTTCATGTATAAACTTTGCTCAAACCTGTTGATATTTAATGTGATGCTTATATTTTTGTAACGAATGAAAGCAATAAGTGATATCCTAACTAAAGATCTAAAGGCTATTAAATCGTGAGCCAAGCTAACGATCACCTATTACATTATGGAAAATATTTAATGTTATAAAAGTTTTGATTACTATACGATGTAAACTTCATAACAAATTATTTACCTTAAAAACGGATAACAATTGAATTTATATGTGATTTTAAGGATATACGGATTAATTCAATATAAATGATAAATTGCATTATATTAAACAGATAAAAGACATAATAAGTTGTCAAACCACACAAGAGGTGTGATTCCGGACTCAGTAACAGCCTTGGTGATATGCCTGCCTTCGATCATGGACTCACAATAACGAAGCATTGCTGAACAAAAGTAAGAACTTTGAATAATAGAGAAAATGAGAGTATACTGCCTTGATGTGCGTGCTACAATTTCCCCTAATGAATAATCAGACTCCCCTTTATATAGTAAGGGAGTTTTACCCTAAGCACAATTATATAAAAGGTAAAATCTTCCGTTTTACTAATCACTGATCTTCTGCTGGTACAAGTCGAGATTCACGCCATGAATCCAATTGGGCACGAATATCACGGCCCTTTGTTAGTCGCGCTCGATTGTCTAACAACGTTCTCCGAAGTTTAGGTATTTGAATCGGGCTTGGGAGCGTGGACCCGATTCGTCTGAGGGCAAGTGTTTTGCCCGGACCTTGATTCTCGAGGCTCCTTGCCTTGATTCCGTTTTCTTACGGTCACATCTCTGCTCCGTTTACTTCATCGATAATCAGGGCGTCTGAAGGGCTCGATTTTATCCTTACACAGATAGTCCCCTTGTTTCTCAGAGAGTAAGTTTATAGAAACCACGAGAAACGACATATGTGCTTCAATTCCTTCTCCAATACGCTATGACATAAACGATGGAGAATCTGAAACGTCCTCTCAGTTGTGTAATTATGACTTCAAACACGTGTCATTCCTCGGCTGGTCGCGAAACGACACAATCCTTCTGTAAATACTTCCTTCCTTCATTCATTTTGCTCAATCACCGAAGATGTCCTCCCCGAGGTCCGAAAGTACTGCAACGGGGCAGGCAAGGACATAGTGGTCCCCAAATCGGAGGAGGCCATTACTACCTACGTTGAGGGATACCTAAGTGTTTACACTTATCCCTTCACGTTGGGTCCGTTAGACCCGGTCATTCTGGAATTCTGTAAGAGGTATGAAGTATGTCTCGGTCAGATCCACCCATCGCTGTGGAGGATTGTAATCCTCCTTCTATACTTCATAAACAAAATCGACTCATGTTGTCTCACCATCGATCATTTACTCCGCCTGTATAGTCCCCGAATCTTCCGAGGGGACTGATAAAGCTCGTATGCCGGGCTATCAAAGCCTCATTCTCAAGCATCGATGAGGACTAGGATCGAGGCTGGCAGGGATGCTTTTTCTGGGTGAGGACTGTAGACTTGATTCCTACCGAGTTTAGATCATTCCCCGAGAAATAGCATGCATCATGTAAGCACAACCTTCTTTTAAATGTCAATTTTACATTCATCTCCCTTTTCCTCACTAGTGATTATGATGGTGCAGCTGCTGCTCGAGTCCCAAGCATTATCCCTCGGCTCAATGAGTGGATTGAGGGCATTTTCTCACAGATGCCTTATTCCAAGCGCTCATGGCACAAACTCTTGAAGAGCCGTTGGAAGGCTCGTTCTCATGGTATGATCTCTTTTCCGAATAAGTAACATTAGGCTCCCCTTTTAGCATCACATTCTTATTTCCTTTCTTTTCTTTTTGCAATCTTGCCTAAGACCATTGAGCTTGGGCCTTCGGTAGAGGATGGGGACCGGTCCATTGATCCCTATGCTTCGGGGTAGCTCGGGGTTACAGCAGAAGAGAAGAAGAAGAAAAGGAAGGCTCCGACATCTCTGAGCTCGGAGAAGAAGAAAACAAAGAGAAGGTTGGCTCGAAAGACAAATGAGCGCTCTAGCTCTCAAGCACCTAACTCAGACTCACTCTTCTGGCTCAGGGATGAGGCTGAGGAGGATGATCTTTTTGTGGCCCATGAACCAACCTCACGCGATAGTGGGCGGCAGCCAAGGCAGAAAAAATAGAGGTTGATAGGCCGATGTAGAGATGAGGGATGATTCCTCTTACGAAGCTGGCTCTGCTCTATCGGTGTCATAGATATTTCAGGGTCTCCTTCATTCACCGACTCTACGTTCAACAAATCCCGGACGGTGAAGGAGCGATCAAACAAAGGGGCCCACAGTACAGACAATCCCCTTCGTTCTTTTTTTAAAGGTGTGGACTCGATCGCTCTGGAAGACTTCTCCGGGTTGGGTGACTTGGAGGTGCCGAGAAAAGATCTATCTTCGAAGGCCGGTGGGCAGAACTCAAGCCCAAAATTAAGAAACTAGTTTCCCGCCCTGAATATAGATCCCGGCCGTAAGAGGTCGATAATCATTACCATCCCGGAGGATGCCCGGGTTCTTTCTGCTACTATAGGAGTAGCGAGTTACATCCAATGCCTGGTAACCGAAGACTGTGAGCACGTGATTTTTGCCCTATATATGAATAATTCCCAAAATTCCAACAAAATAATTTTTCTTTATTTTTACAATTCTTGTGAATTTTGTGTTAATTATTGGCATCTTATTTGTGCATGTTAATTCATATAAAACACAAAGAGTATGCATTTGCATTTAGGTTTTAATTTTTATATTTAGTATCAATTAAGGGACAATTTGTTTAGAACAAAGCATGAAAATCACAAAAAATAGTTCACTTTTGCATTTTTAATGATTTTTATTGTGAATTTGTCACGAAATAGTTTTTGAACAATTTTAGGAATTAATTAGTCTTTGTTTTAAAAAAATCAGGATTTCATGTTAGTTTTACATCTTTATAAAAATTATAAAAATTGTAAAAGTAAGAAAAGAAAATAAGAGTAGAAAAAGTGGTCTTATTTAAGACCCAAAATTTGGGCCAATGCATTGAAATTTCTCAGGCCCAAACGTCTCAAAATCATTGCAAATTTAGTCCAGCCCAGGT